AACTAATGTTATGACTTTAAGAGAACCCTTTACATCTCACACAACTCAAAGTTAAGACGTTTTTTATTAGAATATTCCATATATTTTCATTCGAATCTTCCATATATTGTGTTACAAAACATGTCAGTCTCAATACCATAGATTTTCACTAATTGAATATGTTGATTATGGTTTTAGACAGTATTATACTGTACAAGTGTTATCTATGATTTATGTACATATATGAACACACAATTCAGCCATGTGGGCTGCCAGCTGTTCATTTGAAATAAACCAACCATATATAAATAAATAATGAATAACCTGGGTATATAATTTCTTGACGAAAAGGTAACTGCCACCTGTCATTCCCAAAAAGTTACATTTATTGCAACAATTATTTCACTAAAGAAAGAAGTGTTTCTACTCACTATGAAGATCCAAAGAGCATATGAAGATCCAAGGAGCTATCAGATTCAGACACGGGATACAATCGTCATGTAGATGTTTGTCACCCTAGGCTTGTGCTATTGTATAAACAGGCCTGTTGGGAGAAAAGCAGGTCTGATCCAGCTGTGTATGCATGCAGACTAATTATGAGATTGAGAAAGGCTGATGTTATACATATTCAATGAACATAAAATGGCAATATTCACATTATCTGGCATGCATACGAACACTCGAAGCTCTGCGTCAACTTTCCATGGCTATGTTACAACTTGAAGCTAGGACAAACACAACAAACATTTGTTCAAACATTTTGCTTATTGTTAGATCAAATATCTGTTTTTACCGTTTTGTTGCTTCAATTTTTCATTGATTGGGCAAGCACATCAATTATACATACTCTCATTGCAGACATATTATTTTCTATTATATTATTTCTATTTTTAATCTCTGACCTACAATGCACTTTTATTTCTCTTTGCTGATTTTGTTTAATATAGGTTGTCATAATTTCAGCATAATTTTGTATATTTTTTATTATCTTTATTGCTAAAAGTATTTTCTTTATTCTTATTATAGTTATTTTATTCTATGTTGCTGGACTCTATGGAATTTACCATACTAATGGAGATCTTAATAAACAAACAAACAAAATATCTTAGATTGCTGATTTTAGCTTGTTTATGTTAGGGTCCCAAATTCATTACCCGGGGCTCAGTTCTAAAAGCCTTCAGAAATGAAAAATTATTATGGGCACTCTTCGTGTATATTCATGTATATATGAATCGTTATTTTTTGCATAGTACTACACACAAACATCCCAACCGAGTCCTTGTCTTTTTAACTAAAAAAAACACTAGAACAATTATATGAACCACATCAATATTTTTATTGTGTCAGTTGTAGGCACACCTTGTGAATAAAAACAAAACAGAACGTTGCTCCGTGTATTTTATCACATGAGCGATATGTACCGCTTATTGCTACAATCCTACATTTCACTATTTACGGACACTCATTAACTGTTGATAAATGGCAGGCGTATCACTTATTCACCAACGCTTTAGACTCTCATACTCGTTGCCAGGAACCTTCTTTAGCGGTTCATAACCATCGTCCTGTTGTGGCGGCGCTTTCTGCATATCGACATGCAAGTTACACAGAGTACTAGAAAGATTCTCATTCTTCCCATTTTGAAGTACAGGAGTGGCACCTGCGAGTGAAATACCAACGTCCGAAACGCCCACGCTCTTCGTATCTGTTAGTCCACAACTAGGCATTTCGGCTACAGCCGTGAAGCCGTCTGAAGCTTGGTGGCCGCCTGCTGCTTCATACGGCGGCGGCGGGCTGCGCAGCTCGGGAATTTCTTCGTACAGGTTGTCGAAAGCTGGATTTCGCCAGTGCGTGTCGCTGTAGCCGGGGAGGGAGCCGCGGGGTTGTTGTGGTAAGTTTGCGAACTGTTGGCGTGCTGCTGTTTCTGATGGTTTCTTCCTTCTCGCGCAGAAGATCAGTAACGCGATAGAGATGAACAGCAGACTCACCGCACCGCCAGCTACCCCGATCACCAGGCTGACGTTTTGGTGATCACGTCCTCCATGTGGAGCTGTAACACACCGGGACGTTACAACATCAGTAAATGTCAGTAAATGTGAAAATCTTTGGCAACACTGACGCTAACATACTAGGCATTGAGTGAGTGAGTGAGTGAGTGAGTGAGTGAGTGAGTGAGTGAGTGAGTGAGTGAGTGAGTGAGTGAGTGAGTGAGTGAGTGAGTAAATGAGTGAATGAATGAGAGTGAATGAGTGAGGGAGTGAATGAGTGAGGGAGTAAATGATTGAGGGAGTAAATGATTGAGTGAGTGGGTGTGTGTGAGAGCGAGTAAGAGAGCTAAAGGGCTAGTGAAAGACAGAGCGAGAGACAGATAAAGTGATCCAAGGTAGATGGAAAATGAAAGAGAAGATTAACCAAAATTCCATCCTATAACATTAACCTGGGCTTCTGCCATTGTCGTACGTGACAGGTGTAGTGACCGGCGGTGCCATGCTGTTGTCGTGCACGGGATGGGTTAGGGGTCGGCCTGCTGCTCCTAAAATAGGACAGAGAACATTCTGTTATTCCATTTCAAAGGTAGCAAAACTTAATAAGGAACAAAAGTAGCTATAGATGATGGAAAAATCACAATATGGAACATGATGGGACAGATATTGAAATGAGTACTTACCGTTAGCTCGGGTGGTCCTCAGTGTTGTAACGGAAGCTGTAGTTGTGACTGTGAAACTTGTATCTGCGGTCTCGGTGGTTGTCTGTGGAGGGTTTGTCGTTGTCCTGTCCACAGTTTGTGTGGCTGTAGAACGTGTGTGTGAACCTCTAGAGGTCACCCTAGTGGTTCTCTGTGCAGTAGTTGTAGCTGTCAAGTCGGCTGTTGCTGTAGTGGTCGCGAAATTTGTGTTTAAACTGCTAGCTTGAGTGTTGGTGGTTCTCTGTGGAGAGTTTGTCGTTGTCCTCTCCACAGTTGTAGTGGCTGTAGAACGTGTATGAAAACCGCTAGAGGTGGCCGTGGAATCTGTGCGTAAACTGCTAGCTTTAGCGTTTGTGGTTCTTCGTGGACGGTTTGTTGTTACCCTGCTCACAGTTGTAGTGACTGCGGGGCTTGTATCATCGCCGATACTATGTGTGGGGGTTGTACGCAAACCGCTAGCTGTGGTGTCGGTGATTCTATGTGTAGTTTGTGCTGTTACCCTGCCCACAGTTGTTGTTGTAGCTGTGACACAGTGTGTAGGAATCTCTGTAGCCCCCTGTGGAAGGCCCGCCGGTGTACTGCTGATGTCGGAGGTTGGAGAACTGACGCAGTGTGTGGAGTTGATGAGGTGGAAGCCGTCGTCACAGGAACAGGTGTAACATCCATCGTTGTTGTGACAGTTGTGGTGACAGGCGTGGGTCTCATACCAACACTCGTCAACGTCTGCATTGGTGTCAAATAAGATCTTATTCAGCGTGTATAGATTTTCTGTTACCAATAGCTACGTGTACATTTTTCTCTTATGACTGAAGAAAACAACACTTTTTGAAGAAGGGATTTTTTTTCACTTGTCTATACGAAATGACTTCTTTTGACAGAGAGAGTGCGGCTTCAGGATGACTCCCTCGTTAATTGTTTCAATTATCACCAAAGTCTGGAGAAAATGTCGGGAAAGGGTTCAACCAACACTTATCTACGTCTGTAAAATTATTACTTCAGCAATCTTATAGCGTGTCATTAGATTTTTTTGTCCAGTGGCTGCGAATTCATTATTCGGTCATTTTCTTTGTTTCACATTGCAATTTAAACACTACAGAAAAACACAAGTGGTTTCAGGAAAACTTCCACGTTTAAGACTGAAGGTTTCTGTTTTTAAAAAAAAGCACCGGCCTTGGAGTAATGCTTTTCTTGAAAAGAGGAACAACCGTTTTGTTCATGAGGAAGACTTCCTCCTCTAATTATAAGTTCCCCCTGAGCGGTGACCCGGAAACCTTCCTTTATGCTCACTTAGAGGTAAACGCTTGGTTGAAAAGACTGACTGCACAGTAACTAGACCTCACCATATCTGCAATCTCCTCCTTCCCACCCAGGCTCACACTCACAGACGTTAGTGTCCACACAGGTGCCGTGTATACATGGGTAGAAGCAGTGGACTGAAATGAGAAGCAAGGAAACTCATAGTTAATATCTTTTTAATAGGGAGGCAAAAAAAATGAAAACTAAAACGCTTAAGACGTCCATACGTGAATCAATGCAAAAGCAGGCTGGTCGCAAGTCCTGCTTAGTAAAAGTTGAAGGGATACTCAATAAAGGAAGTGGATGAGATTGAAGCCAATTTCGACCCAGTACAGAACTGTTTACATATCAACAAAACTTCGTGACAGTGCATCACCACACTTGAACTCACCACAGGTGTCCTCAACTTGGTCCCACCCGTCACAACACTGACTGCCGCATACGCTGCCAGGTGGACTGGAACAGGGTACAACCCATAAATAAGTACAAGGCCTAGCCTATCAATACGTACATTTAAGTTGCTACGTATACGTCGTTGTCTCAGCCAAATTACCGGCACTTGAAGAACAATTTATGGCTCCTTTCCTCGTAGAATCCTGTAAACATTACACTGATTCGTCTCTCCACACTGATCACATGGTTGGAGTGCTATTAGGAGGCCATATATGGTACGGTATTAGTTGGAGTCCATAGCTTTTAGACACGGCGTTTAGATACGCTTCGCAAATACTCCACACAGCTGAGAACACCCAGCAAAACCGTACAAAACTACTCACCCAGTCAGAGCCAAGGTGTTCTCAACAACCACAACAAGAACAAGCAGGGCGACACAGTAAACAGCGCACGGACCCTCTCTCTTCATGTTGTCAGTGGCGATCTCTCGATCTACTGCAAAGAAGTGAGTTCTTCCCTGAACGAAGTACAGCCCAACCGCACTGAGAGGTGGTCTCAAGTGTGAAGCGTAGCACTTTGCTAACTGGAAATGTTACTTCCTCATGTGGCGCAGACACAAGTCTTTGAGCCATTGAGAGGCTTGTTGACTGAAGCAACATTACACCGCAAGCTATTGTATTGCGTGTATATTGGATCAGCGAGGACACATTGAGGACTGCGTAAGGTCTGTAGCGGTGACCCGCGGCCATTGTGTAGTGAAAGCGCTTTGCTTAGGGAACTGGTGTTGCGTTTCAGGGTAAACAGTGTAGTGTAACACTGCCACCTGGCGGAAAGACTGTACAAATACAGGGTAAGTCTTGTGCTTTTCTGACTGGGGAAGCAAGGGTTAATGACCCACCCCGATGTGTATATATGGTGTGATAAGGACTTGTCTGGTGCTGTAGCCACTGACTAAAACCACCTAGTTAACTCCATGAAAAATGGAGGTATTGTTTTTGGCGGGGTCTGTCTGTGTGTCTGTGTGTCTGTGTGTCTGTGTGTCTGTGTGTGTTTCCGCAACTTTGTAGTCAGCATAACTTCATAACGCCTTTATCTATTGTGATGATATTTGGTATGCTGATAAGTCTTAGGAAGACAAAGGTCAAGGTCAAATATGGGCCTCCTGGTGGATGACCTTGGTACTGCAGCAGAACTTCCGGTTTTTGTATCTTTGGTCCTGAACATGCTATGGTCTTGAATTTTTGGTGACAGATAGCTTTTACTGTCAGGAATAAGTGGCGTGGGTTTGGTTCCCCTAGCAGCTTGTTCAGGAACTGCAGGGGACTTTCGGGCGAAATCTTTGAAAGCCAATAAGTCCAGATAGGAACAGCGTATTTTCATCATTTTTGGTGTGTAGGTATCTGACAGAGAGATGTACATAATTAACTGCAAATTATGCAAATGAGGACTTTATTTGCATAATTAATGAGGAAATTCTATAATTACAGTGTATTACATTATAGAACTTTCATACATGTAATGTATGTAACCTATGGCAGATGGAACATCAACAGATATTAATTATGCAAATGTTGACCTAACTTGCATAATTAATGCAAAAATCTATGATTTCTCAATGGTGAATGATGGGAATGTCATACTTGGGACATCTTTAAGTTAATCAAAAGTTAACATCACGATGTATATATTATGTTAATGCAGAGGTCATTTGCGTAATTAAAGAAGAAATTTACATTTACATATCAAGCCCATATTTCATGGAGGTATGAGATCTTCGCTTCTGTCACCGAAGTTATCATCATCATCAAGCCTCATAGCATACACTAGGACAGCCCCTGTGAAACCAGTACCTTTCTCTGACATTGGCAAAAGCTAGTGTACTATGCGACCCTCCCACTCTACGTCTCCCAGTGGGAAGCCACTGTATTAGTCTACCATCTGATTCGTTACTACGAACAACATGCCCTGCCAGGGCGAGCCTACGTCGTCGGAATACAGACGAAATGGGCAGGAGACAGCCATAGAGTTGTTTGTAATATGTTGTCTCCATGAAACATTATACATTACTCTTAATTAACATTCCTGTGTATGTACCATCCAGTTTCTTGCTCTGGGCTGCACTCATAGCTGTAGAGTAGAATGGTCTTTATATACCGGGCTTTATAATGTAGGAATAATTGTTTTCGGCCTGTCTGTCTGTCCGTCTGTCTGTCTGTCTGTCTGCGTGTTTCAGCATACTTGTGATCGGCATAATTTCAGAATGCCTACATTTAATGTGATGATTTTTTTTCGTAGTTATTAAAGGTCAAGGCAAAGGTCAAGGTCAAATCTAGGCCTCTTGGTGGCTGACCTTGGTACTGCAGCAGAACTTCCGGTTTTTGTTTCTTTTGTCGGACTTTGTCCTGAACATGCTACGGTCTTGACTTTCTGGTGATAGATGGCTTTTCCTGACAGGATTGGTATGGGTTTGATTCCCCAACTTGTCCTGGAACTGCAAGGGGGTTTCCAGCAAAATCTTTTAAAGCGGATAAATCAAGACAGAAACGACAAATTTTCATGTTTTTGCATGTAGATAGCTTAGACAGAAATGTACACAATTGTACTAGTATGTAAATTATGTAAATGAGGAGTCAATTTGCATAATTCACGAGGACATCTTTAAAAACCATTATTGTACATTATAGGCTTTCATACATGTAATGTATGTAATCTATGGCACGTGGAACATTAACAGAGAAATTATGTGACTGAATACCTAATTTGCACAATAAATGAAAAAATTATAGTAAAACGTTAAACTTTATTCCAACACACTATTTACAGGGATCAAATTTTCAGCGACCACTGTCGCCTTCATCAGGATAATTAATGACCAATCACTTCAAAACGTGATCTCGCGAGAGTTACGGTTTACAAACACGTGACATTATTCACACGAGACTTTACTGATACGTGACGTAAGCAATTGATCAAAAGTGCCAGGGAGTTTATATCGTCCACCATCTCTATTAAGTGAAGGCTGAAGTGCTCTGATATATATAGCCTCCTTAATGCCTCTTAGAAAGTAGTCCTGTTCAGTGTCCAGTATTCTAACTTTGTCCAGAGAGACTGTGTGGCCAGGTGATTCGATGTGGATGTGTTGAGAAACTTCAGATGACAGCGAGCTGGGGCGTTTGTGTTCAAGAAATCTGGTCCTTAGTGAGCGTTCTGTCTCGCCAATGTACGATTCTTCGCAGGCCCCCCGCCCCGTGGTTCCCTGACACGGAATTAATTATCCTGATGAAGGCGACAGTGGTCGCTGAAAATTTGATCCCTGTAAATAGTGTGTTGGAATAAATTTTCACGTTTTACTATGATTACTTTCATGATAAAATGAAAAAATTGTATGATTTCGTAATGTTGAAAGATAGTAAACTTGTCTAATAAATCTCACCTGGTTGTCTGAGACTCAACTCTGTGAACCGGCCTGGATAGAGACTTGTATGTCTCTTCTTTTACTAAGCAGAACTGCTAGGTTTTCTATCTTTCTCATGACCTAATGTAAATTTTGTTGTGCCACTGACGGGCATTTTCCATTGATTCATACCTCATGATCAGTCTAATCTGCAATCAGATCTTTTGGTGTGGGTAAGACAGTATCAAATTGTCCAGTCTGTAACTATGGGGAAATGGTTACAGACTGGCCAATTTGATACTGTCTTACCCCCACCAAAAGATCTGATTGGTGATTAGATCAGTCAACAGAACTGATTAATGTAAATACAAAAATTACACTCATTTGTAACCTTTGGTCTACATGTATGTGGCAATCTATTATGAAGAGTGGGAACACACACACGATGGGTGTCAAATTAATCCATTTTTTAATATAATTTTATGTATAAGTTGTACATCAGATTCTACAATATTACACGTTTTCACATACACCGATTTAAAAGACAGTCGAGCGACTATGGTCCAATTTTAAAAGTTTGAATTCCAAATTCTTTTTAATAAGTGTAAGTGATCCCTTCTGATATGTTCAGAACAGATTCCTAATTACTTGGTTCGCCAAACATTAGTACTGATAAGGCCACACAAATTTAATTTGTTGGTTGTCAGATTTAAAAAGAATATCACAATGAAAACAAAGCCTGAGGACCACGTTTTTGCCTTGTCAAACTCATTTTTATGGAATGAATGCAGTCATATTCTCATTTTTCTCCCTGCCTTCTGCTTTTACGATGTTCGTTTGCTATTGATTCAACTGAAATGTCTGACAATACAGGAGATAAATCGGTGTAGCCTAAGATGCGTTTTATGTGATTGTCACTAGTGCGTACCTTATCAGTATGATCTGTAATATTCTACAATTGGGTACTTTATTGTAATTATTTATTTCTATACTGTGAAGTATCAAACATTTGTCTACTTAATGAAATTCTTTTTTATTGGAAGATAACCTATTTCCTGACTGTATTGCTACCTTGTTCTGACATTTTCTCTTAACACGCCATTAATTACAGTGGTCACAGAACCATACACTGAGTTAAACATTTTGCTGTGTCATTATTGGAATCATTATCATTGGTGTCTTTATTGGGATTTTTCTTGCTACCATCAGGCATAATTATGATACAAAAACATTTCCCTAGTAAATGAAGCCATATAATAGATATGTGTTCTCTACACTTATTGTAATTATAAGTATGGTTATCTGGTGGTAAAGAAAGGTTTCTTCTACATGGCATATATTGGATTATTGTCCAGTGCATGATGTTTCAATTCAGCTATTTCTGACTGAATTCATGAAGTATAGTAATGGACATTTTCAGGTTATTTTCAAGTAATTTTATATGTGGGTGACTTTTGTACTCGGGATAAAGCTGCTTTGCCATATCAAAGGCTTCTTGAAAGAGACTCAGAGCTTTTCTGATATTGCCTATGGCCAGCCAGGTCATACCAAGGTTGTTAAGTGACATTGCAATGTCAGGATGTGATTTAGTCTGACCATAGATACTCCTGCGCACCTGCAGTGCCTGTTCATGGTAGCTGATTGCTTTCCAGTATTCACGCAGATGGTAACAGACATCTCCCAGACTACAAAGTGATATGGCAATTTCTCTGTGATCTGTACCATGACCATATATACTCCTGTGCATTTGCAGTGCCTCTTCATGGTAGCTGATTGCTTTCCTATAATTACCAAGGGAAACCATACATTGACCCAGATTCATAAGTGACATTGCAGTTTCAGGATGTGGTGTACTCTGCCCGTAGATAGTTTTTCTTTTTTGCAGTGCCTGTTCATGGTAGCTTATTGCTTTTCTGTGATCACCAATTTCTTCCCAGGCTGATCCCAGGTTGTCGAGTGAGTTGGCGATGTGAGAATGTGCTGAACTCTGACCATAGATACTCCTGGACATCTGCAGTGCCTGTTCATGGTATCTGATTGCTTTTCTGTTATCACCCAGGTCACTCCAGGCTACCCCCAGGTTGTTGAGTGTGTTTGCAATGTTAGAATGCGCTGAACCGTAGATACTCCTGTCCACCAGTATTGTCTGTTCATAGTAGCTGATTGCTTTTCTACTATCACCGAGAATGCGCCAGACCATTCCCAGGTTTCTGAGTGATGTTGCAATCTCGGGATGTGCTGTACTGTAACCATACATACTTCTACGCATCTTCAATGCCTGTTCCAGGTAGCTGATGGCAGTTACAAAATCACTCAATTCCTTACGTGCCAACCCCAGATTGTTGAGTGTGCTGGCAATATCAGGATGTGGTTTACTCTGACCATAAATACTCCTGAACATCTGCAGTGACTGCTCATAGTAGTTAATAGCTTTTCTAAAATCCCCAAGCCCATCACAGGCTGCCCCAAGCATGTTGAGTGAATAGGCAATGTCAGGATGTGCTGTATTCTGCCCATATCTATTCCTGGACATCTGTAGTGCTTCTTGGAGGTAGCGGATTGCTTTCCTGTATTCACCCATATGGCGATAGACTCCTCCCAAGTTACCTAGGGACATGGCAATATCTTGATCTGTCACACTTGGACCAGAGGAACGTGCCAAAGACAGTGCATTATTAAGATAGCTGACTGCGCTCAGATTATCACCCATTCTGCTTAAAGCACCACCTAGTCTGTTGAGCAGAAAAATTTTTACAGCATCATTTCCTACAGCTTCCTTCAGAGCTACCTGGTAGTATCTGGTAGCCTGACTATATTTGCACAGTTCGTTGCACATCATTGCTTTTATTACTGCTGAAGTTTCATAGAAATCAGAGGATGAATTAAGAACTACTTTTTGTTCAGAATATTTTGTGAAAAGATGATATCTAAGAGGGAGTGCTGTGTAATAGTATCTGAAAAGCTGTTTTTCGTTTGGTAGATAAAAAATCTGTTTCAGTGTGTTGGTTTGTACTTCGTTATGTGTCTGTAGAGACGATTCCTGTCCTTGTAGTTCTGTTTCAATTGAGGCCAAAGCTGACAGGTTTTCCTTCTGTCCACCATTTGCCATGTATGTTCTGAGCCTGAGTTCTGCTGCGATGCTGGTAAGTACTGTCAGGTGGTGTGCATTGTTGGGACTGATGACTTGTTGGTTTTCCATTTCTTCTATTGTTTCCCAAACTGTAGTAGGTGTGATGCATGAATACAGTGCCAAGCAGTCCACTGCTACAGCTGGGAAGCGATAGAGTTCTTTCTTTACATCAACTAGCCTTGCTGTGAGTGATTGCAGGTCTTTGTGGATGTCATTGTTTTCCCTTAGTGTCTCCTGTGCCAGTTGTTGAGCCATTTTACCCCCATCAGCTTTCAGTATCTCCACTGTGATTTCCATGTACGTGTCAATCAAATCCTGTTCCCCCGCTATTAGGCATGGGTTTCTCAAGATGGTGGCAAGGTGATATCCTTCTTTCAGATACAATGTCACATCATTCTGCAGTATTGAGACCATGTTTTCTGGGGTGCAGATGAGTTCACTGACACTGGGTGGTTCATTCTTAGCTCCCTGCCTGCCCAGCGGAGTCTTGCTTGCCTTTGGCATGGAGCCATCAAATGCAAACCCACGTGGTGTAACAGAGTCATAGTACCAGTTGTCAAGTGTATACTTAGAATTAAAGTTATTGAGAGATTTTATTCCTAGTGATGGGAGAATGGTTTCTCCTAGGTTGACCACCTTGAGATGTAGATAATTGGTGAGGTTTCGGAAATACACAAGAACTTTTTCACTTTCTTCCTCTACCAAGATTGCAAACTCCAGGTCTGAGTATGGAGTTACCAGTCCTGTGGCCTGTGAACCCAAACCTATCAGGGCATACTTACAGGGAGGGGGACCCATTAACCAAATACACTCTTCTACAAGCAGGATGATGAACTCCTTTCTTTGTTGTGCAATTTTCTCAAATAGCTTCCTGACAACTTGAGCTCGTTTTGCCTCTATCTCTTTGACACTTGGGTTCTCCTCGCCATGTACATAAGGATCCAGCTGCTTAATGGTTTCCATCTCCAACTTGATCTGGTCTCGCATCTCCTTCAGCTGTTTCTTGTGTTTTTCATTGCCATATTGGTTAACATTACTATGAGCGCCAGTGATAAATTTTAGAAAAGACTTCTCTACTTCTCTAATAGTCGTTTCTATGTTACCCTTGATGACTTGATCCTCTGACCTGGCTATTGCTGCATTATAGAGTGCTGCTGCTTTGGCAAAGTCTCCCCCGTCTCCTGCATGCTGACCTCTCTTACTGTAGACATCCCCCAACTTGCACAGTGGCTCCACCTCTCTATGGTACTGCTGGGCTGTGGGGTCTGAATTAACAGGTGTTCATGTTAATCTTATTATATGATAATTATACACTAGTAAATTCACAAAAATGTATCTCTAATAAGTTACCATTCTGAGATGAAACTAAATATAATATTGGTACTAATTTGCAATCAAAATACAAAGAGGTATTAATACAGTATTCACTGATAGCGAGTACCATCAGTTGAACATGTCAAATGCATCACTTTTTTATGTTAAAAGTAAAAACTAATTGCTTTCGGAAGTGTAGAGGTGGGATGCCTAATATAGTATGTTTTATCATCTTTAGGTATAAAATCTCCAGAATTACCATTGGTATATATTGGTACATATGTTTAAAAACAGTGTCCACTTACCTCTCACATGTACCATTTTTAGTGCAGCTGCAAAGTGCTGCTCTGCTGAGTCCAGGTCAGCCCTGGCAAGGGAGGATTCTCCTTCCTTAAGGTGATTTGTGTACTCCCTTATATATAAGGTGAAAGAAAAATATCATACAATTGTAGAAAGGCATTATTCGATTTAAATAAACTTAACAGTAAGAATGATTTAAAGATTAGTTTAATTTTAGAATGCAATGAATGTTGTCTGTATTATTCTGTATACATGTAGCTGATACTACCATACAGCATAACACAACAGGAATGTACTCATAGACAACATGCTTCCAAAATGTACATCATACTAATTTGTTTTTTAGTTCTTTTTCTGTTGGTTATTTTTGGTTCTGTTGCATTCCTGTATTAAATGTACATAAATAAACAGTTTATATGTGACGGCTTTTGCATTAAATGTTTCTGTGAATGTAAATGCACAGGTCTAGGTTTTTCTTTATCTTTCAGTATGTAAAATCTTGTTATAATGATAGACAATTTTGAGCACCTACCTTGTTATATGTGGACTGACATGATGATCCTGCATAAAGTCAGCTGCTCTTGTGATGTTTCCCAACTGTTGTAGCCTTTGTTCTCTCCTTCTTGACTTCTAAGATGGTGGATCATATATATACAACGTATAGTAATTATATATTTTTGTTCTTTTTTATAACTACAGATTGGTTTAGGTGTGAAATGATTCAATCTATGATTTCTAGTATTTCTACTTCTGAATTGGGATCTGAATATCAGGAGTCCAATCTCTCCTAGGAGGATTCCAGATTCTCCTAGGGGAGATAGGGATTCCAGTCTCCCCTGGGGGAGTTAGGGATTCCAATCTCCCCTAGAGGGATTCCGGATCCCCCTGGATTCTTATCTCCCCTGTTTCATATATAAAAATATATACACTAACTGGGAGGTCCTTTTAGCAGGTCCTCCGTAAAACCATGCTAGAATTTAATAAGTTGCTGTACTCACCTTAATTGCAGCTTCTTTGTTCTTCTCCGTGTATCTGATGCGATGTTCCAGAGTCAGTTTTGTCTCAGGACACCCGCATATTGCCAGGGCCTTGTTGTACATTGAAGCTGCCTTGGAAAACCGGGATACTTCAGAATTTGTCTTGCCTTTCTCAAGGTAGAAATCTCCAAGGGATTTTAAAACCTCAATTTCCAAGAACATGTCACTGTTCTCAATTGCTCTAACCAGTGTTTTTGTGAAAGCCACTTCAACAGAGTGCCAGGAATTTCTGACATATCTTTCCAATTTAAGGCATGTTTCAGTCACCCTTAAGACATTACTGTCAGCAGAACCACAGTAGTCTGGTGACAGCCGCCAGAAGTGTGAACTGTACCCCTGCAGTAGTTGTCTGGATAGTTTCTCCATGTAGCCGATACGATGTTCCAGTGTTTCTCTCATGTCTGGATCTTTGCAGCGCAGTAAGGCAGCAGCATACAGGGCAGCAGCTTTGTCAAACTCTGCTGAATCTTTACTGAGCTTGCCCTTCTGAAGACGCAGGTCTCCAAGACTTTTCAGAACTTCTACCTCCATAAAAGGTTCCTCAGTAGCAATAGCTTTTATAAGTGCCCGACCATAACTGAATTCTTTGCTGTATGGAGTGTTTATGTACAGTTCCTGCAGTCTGTTTGCCAAGCTGGCCATGCTGATACTAGGCATTGTCCACTGTTTCTCCTGTTGAAAGAAGGCAGTGTCTATCTAAATCTCACCTGGGTGTCTGAGACTCTTAACAGCTGCCTCGAGGTAGATATTTGCCTGTTTCCCTCTTTAGAAGTAAAATCTCAGAGTTTTTCGTCAGTACTTGTAGGGAAATGTTTCAGAATCTGTACATAGTATTTCAATGTGCAGGCGAAACTTCTGGGTTTCCCCTTGTATTCCGACGGGGCTTTCCCGTGTTTTACTTCCGGGTCATACCTGAATGAGTACGGTTTTGTTTGACTTGGTCAACACAAAGCTGGTGACAAAGGTCAATCTCTCATGTTACAAGGACATGGTTTGTTCAATGGGCTGTGTTATTGTGTAGTGCTACTGTACTGTGTGTACACCATATTTACATAGCGAAACACACTGAAATCAGTCTATAAACCAGGAATATTACTTTTCTACAACTACATGTACGTGCACAAAGTTTGATGACTATTCAAAGACAATTCATATTCTACAACTAAATAAATTAACTTTTTTTTCAATTTCTTCTTCATGAATCATGTGATGCTAAACAAGTCACTGTAATTGATGTTACTCACAATGAAGACAATGTGTTATTAGTTGCTTAAGGATAGGAGTGCAGTGAGTCAATGTTCGACCATTATTCGTGTTGTCACAAAACTGTTACAACTGTTACATAAACTGTTACACAGTCAGTTATTTGGATCCATAATGTTCTTTTTTTACATTCATTTCCATCTTCAAACATCTGGATCCATGCTGTTCTTTTTTCTATCCATAAGTTTTAACCTCATAAATAAATCTGCCAGGTTATTACCTTCGCCAAGAAGGTTATATTTTCAGAGGCGTTCCTGTGTCTGTGTGTGTGTGTGTGTGTGTGTGCGTGTGTGTAAACTTGATAACTTGAGAGGACCTTGATGGATTGTCTTTATACTTGGTAGGTGGGTAGGTCATTATTAGAACTCAAAATGATTAGATTTTAGACCCCCTTGCGGCTTGTTATGACACTACAGCTGAACTTCCGGTTTTGATATCTCATGATCTAGACATGCTAGTGTGACGAAATTTGGATGGTAGGTAGCTCTTGTGCTGGGAAAGAAGTGACGTGAGTTTGAAGTCCCTAGCAACTTGCTCTGGAACTGCAGGGCTATACGTACCTCCTTCCTGTGTTTTTGAAGTCCGCATCCGAATGCCCCCCCCCCCCAGCAGTGACAGACCACATCATAAGAAATAACTTTGTAATAGACTGGGACGGGGCCAGAGTAATACGAGTTGTGTAAGAAGAGTCTCTTTACTCGGTTACTTACCAAGATAATGACAGTATTCACGGAAATTCATACTGTGTCGTAGCCACCAAGATATCTGCTTGGAGAGTCTTCGCCTCGCCTACTTCAGACTTGAATAGGGTTTTGGACGGTTGGATTGAATCGGGCAATGCCAAACACTTGTACCTGACCCACACTGACTCTGCTCTTTTGTTGTGTGGATGAACACGACCAAATCGGGATTGCCGAACAATACTACAATGAAGGTTTACACAACAGCTGCGCCTGATCTTTACCTAACACTAATCACTGATAGATGAAAGACGTAAACACACAAGACGACGTCACCTAGTCACCTGTCGCGGCGCACCTGTCTGTCTGTCCCCCGGACAGGTGTGCTCTGCACGTCTTGCAGGTAAAACAGGACTTATCAGTACACGTGATCTCAGGTGAGGGAAAACTCGAGTCTTGACTCACCGCGGGATCAGGCGCGCATGTGCGATGACGTCACAATTTCCTCCAATTTAAAATTTTGACTCAATTGTTGTACAAATGGTTTTGTAAGTAAGAAACACAACATTACATCAGAGCCTTTGTCTTGTCTCCTCTTAATAGTTATCTGCCATCCACCTTCCGGCATGGCAACGTTACATCTCTGCCCATTTTCGGCATGTTGACCACTTTTAGGGGGCAATGAAATTTCTTTTTTCTCTCCAAAATCAGGGGATAATTAATGAGCGCCCTGATGTTATCCATACAAATTAATTGCTGTGGCCTTACTCTTGTGTGGACCAAGGGACACAAGAGATTCGATAAAACCTGCCATTACGCCATGCATGGTTTGTCTGAAAAGTGATTTCTACAATTAGTTCGTTAGTTTATCGTATTTTAGAGCGCTGCCGGCCGTTTGAAGTTGCGGCTAGCGCCTAGCGTGCAAAAATTGGCCGCCGCCATACCTTCGCAATGACGTAATTTACTTTACTTAGACTTAGTTCCTCCCGTGCAAGGCACATTGGGCAGCAAGTCTTCTCCACTCAGTTCTGTCTTCGGCGAGGGACTCGGCATCCTTCAATGTTATCCCCTTGCTTTCCAGATCTTTTTGAAGGGCACGTCGCCATGTTAGTTTAGGCCTCCCTCTTTTCCGTTTTCCCTCTGGTTTCCAGAACACAGATGTTTTGGCGTGTCGGTCTGAGGTCATCCTGAGGACATGTCCAGCATACCTCATTCTCCTCTCGGTGATGGTGGTGCTGAGTGGTTTTGTACCAGTTCTGTGGTATACCTCCTCGTTGGTGATCCTGTCTCTGTATGTTATGTGTAGAATTTTACGGAGGCATCGTTGTTGGAAGGCATCCAGCTTGTTCCGCATTCTTGTTGTTATCTTCCATGTTTCACATGCATAGAGTGCAGTTGGTATTACTACTGACTGTAGCAGCTTGGTTTTCAGCACTCTGGATATCTTCCCACTGTTCCACACTGGGTTCATCCTTCTGAAGACTGATGCTGCCTTACCTATGCGAACACTGATGTCTGTGTCCGTATCCCCTTCTGCTGTCATAGTGCTTCCGAGGTATGTGAACTGCCTTACGTTTTCAACAGGCTCTCCACTGATGTGCAGGTTTGTGTTCGTTTGTTGGTCTCCCACCTGCATAACTTTGGTCTTCTGGCAGCTGATCCTTAGACCCACTTTCCCCGCTTCTGTTTCTGCTGATGTTGTCATGTCCTGAAGAGTCGGCTGAGACTCTGCTGTCAAAGCAATGTCATCGGCGAAGTCTAGATCCGTGAGGCGTCTGTCTCCCTCCCAGGGTATACCAAAGTCACTTCTACCCATTGCCCTGCGCATTACAAAGTCTATGGTGACAGTGAACAGTAGGGGAGATAAGACGCATCCTTGTCGCACTCCGGTGACGATGTCAAAGCTGTCGGTGTACCCTGCGTCTACCTTTACACAACAGGTGGATCCCTCGTACAGGCTTTTAAAGGCTTGTATGAATTTTCCAGGAACACCATACACCTTAAGTATTTTCCAGATCGAGTCTCTATGTACACTATCGAATGCTTTCTTAAAGTCGATAAAATTTATCCATACAGGCCTCTGGAATTCAATACTCTGTTCGATGATGTTGCGCAAGGTAAGTATCTGGTCCATGCAGGATCTGCTGGGTCGAAAGCCGGCTTGTTCCTCTCTGAGTTCTTTATCTACTGCCTTTCTTAGTCTATTTAACAATACAGAACAGAATACCTTTCCTGGTATTGAAAGTAAGGTGATCCCTCTCCAATTTCCACAGTCGCTTAGGTCGCCCTTTTTAGGTAACTTCACTATGGCGCCTTTTCTCCAATCAAGGGGTGTCTTTCCTAATTCCCAACATGTGTTGCAAAGCTTGGTGAGTTTCTTCAGCATGATATCCCCCCCTTTCTTGAGGAGTTCAGCTGAGATCTGGTCTATTCCTGCAGCTTTGTGATTCTTCAGGTTTTTGATTGCATTTGCAACCTCATCTTCTGTGATGTTGTCACAATCTACATCCAGTTCGTTTCCGTCAACATCTAGGAAGGTGTACACCTCCTGTGGTTCAGGTTGGTTTAGCGTCTCTTTGAAGTGTTCTGCCCAACGCTGGTTCTGTTCTTCCTCTGACAGTAAGGTTTTCCCATTTTTGTCCTTTATGGGGACTCCAGTGCCACTGTTGGAACCACTGAGGTCTCTGGCAATCCTGTAGAGTGTTCTTGTATCGTTTCTGTCAGCTGCCTTTTGTGCTTCTGTGGCTTTGTTCTCTAGCCAGGTGTTTTTGTCTATTTTACAGTGTTTCTTTACCTCTTTGTCTATCTTCCTATACTCTTTATTCCTCTTGTTTTGCTCTCTCTGTGTCTTTGCACTATCTCTCTTTTTCTTGATTTCCCTTCTAGTATCAATGACGTAATTACGAAGTTCAAATTAGAACTACGTCAACGTTCGCGCGTTTGACTTTTCAGACATACCGTGTATGCGGTAATGACAGATTTTGTCGAATCCATTGTGTTCCTTTGAAATGCACGTTTATGCTCGACTTGAATTCAGCAAAAGTTCAAGACCGATCATTTTATACTAACCACATGAACAACATTACTATCACATATATATATATAGTTTCCTCCCCTATATGCACTGTACCTGTATAAAAAGCGCCTTTTTGTTACTTAAACGCTGGCTCGTATCTGTAACGACCACTCCTTGTTCCTTTTTTCGGGGGTAAAACATACTTGATATTAGTAGTTCTGGGGATGCTGTTTTTTTTTTTTGTAATTGGGTATGTTTCTTGTGTGTGGGCATGAGGGGGGTCTATGTCATTATCGGGTAGTTGGTTTACGTCAAAGGCATTTTCCACATTCGGTCTATCCCCACATAAAAGAGCAGATGTCAGTATATGAAGGGTAAAATTTACTTTAAGGTGCGTTTTCCGTTGGTTCCTAGAAAAAGATTGTTTTGGTTTTCGTAAATCACCTGCTGTGGTAATGATCTATGGATCATTACCTCAGGATATCCTTTGCCCGATCTATGGATCATTACCATAGGATACTGTGGATCATTCAGCCTTTTGTGTTTAAAGGTTTTGTTGCTCTCTTCGTTGTAATATTGTTTCGTGTTTCCCGATTTGGTCGTGTTCATCCTCACAAAGGAAGAAAAAAGGCAGACGTCAATGTAGTAATATAGTTTACATTCGTCTTTCGTCGGCTGTTAGACGGCCGTTCACCCTTTATCGTGGATCACGTCAGTCTATTGATTTTTTTTGACGTTCAGGATGTTTGGTCTATGAAGGTATTTAAGTTCGTGAGGATTTTAAGCGTGAGTAAGTAAACAGCTTGCAGGTAGGCAGCCGAGTGGCATTGAAATTGGAAGGCTGTTGAACTG